TGATCGTCTCCTCTAGGGATGTCTGCAGTCTCTGATCGTCTCTTCTAGTCTCTGATCGGATAGCTGAGGTCTCTGATCATCTCCTCTAGGACGTCTGAGGTCTCTGACTGTCTCCTCTAGTATGTCTGCAGTCTCTGATAGCCTTCCCTCGTATACTGAATATTATGCATGGCCTTTTGGAGCTGTCAAGGACCACAAGTTGAGGTTCCCCACACCTTGTAAGTTGACAACCTTCATTCCCTGTAGACCCATTGTATGTAGGATAATAGCCACCCTCTCTTGCTCGCTCCTGACATGTACTATGGATTACAGACTATGAAATTTGTAGTGTGCATTGAGCAGTACACATGTCTGCTACTAATATGCACTGCTCATTCCAAGCAGCCACAAGTGAGGGGGATAAGGAGAGGTTAGGGAGCTCAAACCCAACTCCGGGAAATTTGAAAATGATCCTATGCAGTCGGGCTACATATCTGGACCTCAAACCACTGGGCGTTGGGGAGAAGGCACTGCAGAGACCAGGCTAGCAGGAGGAGTAGAGGATTGGGTAAGTAAATCTTTAACAAGTCCCCTAGACCTGAATGAGCAAATATCCCTCGAAGTGTGTGCACAGCCCGACTGCAAGGGATCATTTTTACATTGTACTTTAAAGTGCTTCTAAAGGCTCAAGTTTTTTTACCTTCATGTATTCTATGCATGAAGGTAAAAAATCTTCTGTGAGCAGCATCCCCCCAGCCCCCCCTCCCCCCCCCCAATAGCCATCTAACCCCCCCCTCTCGATCCAGCGATGTGCACTGGAGTCTTGGTTATCCCGGGACTCCCTCTTCTCATTGACTGAGACGGAAGTGGGAGCCATTGGCTTCCACTGCTGTCAATCACAGCCAGTGAGCCAATGAGAAAAGAAAGTGGGGCCGAGCCGTGGCTCTGTGTGCGAATGGACATAGGAGCAGCTGGTGCCCCCATAGCAATCTGCTTGCTGTGGGGGCACCCGACATGAGGGAGGGGCCAGGAGAGCCTACGGGGAATCTGAGAAGAAGAGGATCTGGGCTGCTCTGCAAAACCACTGCACACAGCGGGTGAGTATAGACATGTTTGTTATTTTTCCTTAAAAAAAAATAAAACTTTAAGAATCACTTTAAGTAGTCCTGGATTCTTTCTTGGATACACAGAATATCACTGGATACTAACATTTATAGGTAAAGTTGATCCAGGGAATATCTGATTGCCTCTCGGGGGATCAGGAAGGAATTTTTCCCTGCAGGAGCAGGGGCAGACTGACAACTCATGGGGCCCCTGGGCAATAGGGGATCATGGGGCCCCTGTGTCCTTGCACAGACTCAAAAAAGCCTATGAAAAAGGTAACAGGGGCATTTCATGGGGCCCCCTATTGACCCCGGGCCCTCAGGCAGTGCCCGAGTGCTCGAATGGTCAGTCCGCCCCTGTGCAGGAGTAAATTGGATCATGCTTTGCTGGGTTTTTTGTTTTCCTCTGGATCAACTGTGGGTGTAGGATTATAACTTTTTTTTTTTTATAAATAGTTGAACTGGATGGACTTTTGTCTTTTTTCAGCCAGACTAACTATGTAACTATGTAAGTAAGTGATGTGTATAGATGTTTTTTTTTTTGAAGAACAAAGATGTCTTTTAGTGTCACTTTCATCATTCGCACAGATGACGCAATAAATTAATGCCACATTGTTTGTAATTTGTCTCCTATGATCTCAGCTCCATCTACTGGCTATAATGCTGTATTGTTCTGAAACGCCACAATAAAAACACTGCATTATGGCCACTCTATGGAGTTGACAATCACGGGAGATAATAATATTACAAACAATATGGCAGACATTCGTGGTGCCCACAGAAATGGTTAACACATCCTCACAGCGAGAGTGGGGGAAGGGTCCTTTAAAGATGTCACATTTACCAGCCCCTTCCTTACCTGAATGAACACAATGAGTGATCAGTACTGATCGCACATTGTGTTCATTCATAGCTTTTTCCCCCCCTTTTTTTTATTTTTAAGGGGGGGGGCTGTCAGGTTGACTGTATGGGGCCCCATGGTTTCTAACAGCAGCCCTTGTTATATGCATTTATGATGTGCTGCTGTTCACTTCAATTTACCTCCCAACAAAACACAGAAAAATGCAGCGGACATGTCATATTCCTAAAAATGCACTTCAATGCTGACATCGGAACAGATAATGGTTTTATTATGGGGATGTTGGATACATGCGTCTAAGCCTGCTGCAAAACATGTAAAAACACAGCCCTAAATGGGCCCTAAATATTATATATTGTAATAAGGTTTTTTTTAAGGGTTCGTTTACATTAGCAGCAGAACTTGCCACCCCTCTGAACAGTGATCATGGTGGATGACTTTTCAGAGGACAGTTGACATGTAGCAGGGAGGCTGTTTTCCTCACCTCCCATTTTATCCCTGAAAAGCCCTCACCGCCACCACACAGTGCAAGCTGCAGGAATGGGTCGCGTGTGGTGATCATCTCCAGGGGGTCCTATTTTTTTTGTGAAAAGCATCAGGGCTGGGGCAAATGTACAACCCCCTCCCCGGCCACGATGTTGGGTTAAGTTGAGAGTCGAGGAAAAAAAAACATGGCTCAACTGCTTGTTTTTACTGCCAGTGTGAATGAGCCCTAACACGGTCACTAGATCACAATTTCTTTTTAGTTAAAGCCAGGCCCTAAAGAAAAGGATTTATACTTACCTGGTTCACTGCCCCCCCCCCCCCCCCCCCGTCACCCACAGATCATAGAAAAAAATGAATCCAGAAAATAATGCATTATGGCCACTAGATGGAGCTGGCAATCATAGGAAATAAGATTTTTTTTCCTGGCACCAACATGGCAGCATACATGTGGTAGTATCCTGCCATGAATTGACATCAGGAAAAAAAGTGACGGTAGGTATTTAATACAATTTTCTGTTTCTGGGCACCAACATATCAGCATACTACCACATTTATGCTGCCATGGGTTGGCACCAGGAAAAAGAAAATTACCGTAAGTATTTCATACAATTTTCTGATTTTTTTCCCCCTAATATCAGCTCCATTATCTGCTGAGGATAATCTGAAAAAATGATTCAAGGAAATACTGCATTATGGCCACTAGATGGAGCTGACAATCATAGGAAATAAGTAGTTTTTCCTGGCTCCAACATGGCAGCGTACATGTGGTACTAAACTGCCATGGATTGGTGCCAGGAAAATAAAATTATCTGATTCATAAATATTTGATACAATTTTCTGTTTTTTCCCCTAATTTCAGCTCCACCATCTGATGAGAATAATCTAAAAAAAATGAATTAAGAAAATACTGCTTATGGCCGCTAGATGGAGCTGACAATCATAGGAAATAAGTAGTTTTTCTTGGCGCCAACATGGCAGCATACATGTGGTAGTATCCTGCCATGAATCGAGAAAATACTGCTTATGGCCACTAGATGGAGCTGACAATCATAGGAAATAAGTAGATTTTCCTGGCGCCAACATGGCAGTGTACATGTGGTACTACGCTGCCATGCATTGGTGCCAGGAAAATAAAATTATCTGATAAATAAATATTTGATACAATTTTCTGTTTTCCCCCTAATTTCAGCCCCACCATCTGCTGAGAATAATCTAAAAAAAAAATGAATTAAGAAAATACTGCTTATGGCCGCTAGATGGAGCTGACAATCATAGGAAATGAGTAGTTTTTCCTGGCGCCAACATGGCAGCATACATGTGGTAGTATCCTGCCAGGAATCAAGAAAATACTGCTTATGGCCACTAGATGGAGCTGACAATCATAGGAAATGAGTAGTTTTTCCTGGCGCCAACATGGCAGCATACATGTGGTAGTATCCTGCCAGGAATCAAGAAATACTGCTTATGGCCACTAGATGGGCTGACAATCATAGGAAATGAGTAGTTTTTCTTGGCGCCAACATGGCAGCATGCATGTGGCAGTATCCTGCCATGAATCGAGAAAATACTGCTTATGGCCACTAGATGGAGCTGACAATCATAGGAAATAAGTAGTTTTTCCTGGCGCCAACATGGCAGCGTACATGTGGTAGTATCCTGCCAGGAATCAAGAAAATACTGCTTATGGCCACTAGATGGAGCTGACAATAATAGGAAATAAGTAGTTTTTCCTGGCGCCAACATGGCAGCGTACATATGGTACTACGCTGCCATGCATTGGTGCCAGGAAAATAAAATTATCTGATAAATAAATATTTGATACAATTTTCAGTTTTTTTTCCCCTAATTTCAGCTCCACCATCTGCTGAGAATAATCTAAAAAAAAATGAATTAAGAAAATACTGCTTATGGCCACTAGATGGAGCTGACAATCATAGGAAATGAGTATTTTTTCCTGGCGCCAACATGGCAGCATACATGTGGTAGTATCCTGCCATGAATCGAGAAAATACTGCTTATGGCCACTAGATGGAGCTGACAATCATAGGAAATAAGTAGTTTTTCCTGGCTCCAACATGGCAACGTACTACCACATTTATGCTGCCATGAATTGGCGCCAGGAAAAGAAAATTATTTTATAAGTAAGTATTTGACACAGTTTTCAGTTTTTTCCCCCTAATATCAGCTCCATTATCTGAAAAAATGATGCAAGAAAATACAGCTTATGGCTGCTAGATGGCGCTGCAGATGAGGATATTTGTACTCCCATCACGCTCCATCTAGTGGCCACAAGGCGGTATTATCCCGATTTATTCTATTCTTTATAAAACATTCGACCCGAAGAGAAAAAAGCCTCATAACATTCGTTTTTGCCCCCATTTGCACAGAACAAATGTAGATGTTGCCTCAAGGCTTTATAAATGTCTTATAAATATAGCCACATTGTTCCAGAATCCCAGCCTATGATCTAATTGGTGAACTGCGGCATGTCCCAGCACTTTTGTATGGGTAATAAGGTGCTATGTAGGGCGGTAAGTCACAGTATGCTGATTATTGAAGCACATGCTTTATTTTCAGGATTCAAGATTAATTGCCCTTCTCCCTCCCAGATATTCATTGGGGGGCGGTACTATCAGGTGTCTTACCTGTTGGCTCTCGGCTGCGTGCTTCTTTGAGATAGAGCAGGGCATTGCCGTAGTCCCCCAGGTGGTAGAAGGCGATGCCGGCCCGGTACGTGGCTTTGAAGTTGCTGTTCTGTTTCTCCAGCACCTTCAGGCAGTATTCTTTGACTCGCTCATAATTCACCAACTCTGACTGCAGTAAACAGGCTGAGGAGACAGCAATTGTCAGGGGAGAATGAGACCAAGCCACAGCTTCATCATGGAACAAACACAAAGGAGAACCAGCACCCCCCACCGCCAGGTGACGCGCGGCGGAGACAAAGAGATATTTATATGATGTGATGTCATAAACACCCCCCCCCCCCCCCCACCACTCCCAGGCACATCGGAACATGCACAAATCAGCAGACGGGCCCAACGGAACAGAGAACAAAGAATCCATCCCACCGCATTCCCCTGAGCGCTATCATCCCCATATCGGAAATAAAATATACCCTGCAAGGATTTCTGCAGATTCTCACCTGCTAATGGTCTGGAGATACAGAAAAAAGTCTCCTCCAGGTCTACTATATACCCTGCAACAGGGGCGGACTGACAACTCATGGGGCCCCCGGGCAATAGGGGATCATGGGGCCCCTGTGTCCTTGCCCACACTCAAAAAAGCCTATAAAAAAGGTACCAGGGGCATCTCATGGGGCCCCCTACTGACCCCGGGCCCTTGGGCAGTGCCCGAGTGCTCAAATGGTCAGTCCGCCCCTGCCCTGCAAGGATTTCTGCAGATTCGCACCTGCTAATGTTCTGGAGGTAAAGAAAAAAATCTCCTCCAGGTCTACTATATATATTGAAAGGATTTCTGCAGATTCTCACCTGCTAATGGTCTGGAGATACAGAAAAAAATCTCCGCCAGGTCTACTATATACCCTGCAAGCAGGGGTGGACTGACAACTCATGGGGCCCCCAGGCAATAGGAAATCATGGGGCCCCTGTGTCCTTGCCCACACTCAAACGATACCCAAAAAAGCCTATGAAAGATACCAGGGGCATCTCATGGGGCCTCTTACTGACCCCGGCCCTTGGGCAGTGCCTGAGTTTCCGAATGCTCAGTCTGCCTCTGCCTGAAAGGATTTCTGCAGATTCTCACCTGCTAATGGTCTGGAGATACAGAAAGAAGTCTCCTCCAGGTCTACTATATACCCTGCAAGCAGGGGTGGACTGACAACTCATGGGGCCCCTGGGCAATAGGGGATCATGGGGCCCCTGTGTCCTCACCCACACTCAAACCATACCCAAAAAAGCCTATAAAAAAGGTACCAGGGGCATCTCATGGGGCCCCCTTACTGACTTTGGGCCCTCGGGCAGTGCCAGAGTTTCCGAATGGTCAGTCCACCCCTGCCTGCAAGGATTTCTGCAGATTCTCACCTGCTAATGTTCTGGAGGTAATGAAAAAATCTCCTCCAGGTCTACTATTTATATTGAAAGGATTTCTGCCGATTCTCACCTGCTAATGGTCTGGAGATGAGGAAACAGATCTCCTCCAGGTCTACTATTTACCCTGCAAGGGTTTCTGCAGATTCTTACCTGCTAATGGTCTGGAGATACAGAAAAAAATCTCCAGCTCAACTATATACATTGCAAGGATTTCTGCAGAGCCTCACCTGCTAATGTTCTGGAGGTAAAGAAAAAATCCTCCAGGTCTACTATTTATATTGAAAGGATTTCTGCAGGTTCTTACCTGCTAATGGTCTGGAGATACAGAAAAAAAATCTCCTCCAGGTCTACTATATACATTACAAGGATTTCTGCAGATTGTTAACGTTTTCTCTGTGTATGTGGGGACTCATATAGTGTCAGCAGCAGCATAATATTGGAGGAGAGATCCCTTCACTCGTATAATTGGGCTGAAGTCCATTGTGTCTATTAGATTTGTGCAGATTCTCACCTGCTAATGGTCTGGAGATACAGAAACAAATTTCCTCCAGGTCTACTTTATACCCTGCAAGGGTTTCTGCAGATTCTCACCTGCTAATGGTCTGGAGACAGGGAAAAAAAATCTCCAGATCAACTATATACCCTGGAAGGATTTCTACCGATTCTCACCTGCAGTTGTTCTGGAGATATTGATGTGTGCCTTTTCAGGTCCCTTATGGCTCATTTACACTTGAGTTGCCCTTTGAAGAGCTATCTGCTGTTGATTGCTCTTCAGAGGGCGTTTGACAGGAGGAGGCGCCTTATATTCTTACCTCTTTTAACCCTGAAAACGTCCAGAAGCTGCCCCCTACCAGTCCCATGGATGTTCTAATATGCAGAAATCAGCAGACGGGTCCAACCAGGGGCGGACTGACCATTTGTAAATTCGGGCATTGCCCGAGGGCCCGGGGTCAGTAGGGGGCCCCATGAGATGCCCCTGGTACCTTTTTCATAGTTTTTTTTTAGTTTGGGCAAGGGCACATGGGCCCCATGATCCTCTATTGCCCCGGGGGCCCCATAAGTTGTCAGTCCACCCCTGGGTCCAACACGAAACAAAACAAAGAAGTGAAGCCCTCACACACCCCGGAGCGCTCTGATCATCGTATCTGAAAGTCGTGTCGAAATAAAATCTCCTCCAGGTCATCTATATACTCTGCAAGGATTTCTGCAGATTCTTACCTGCTAATGCTCTGGAGATATTGATTTGTCCCCCCCAGGTCCCTTATAGCTCATTTACACTTGTGTTGCACTCTGAAGAGTGATCTACAGTGGATTGCTCTTCAGAGGGTGTTTGTGCCTTATCTTGCACCACCGAGACACAAATGCATCGCACTCCGCTGTGGGGCGGTTGCAGCACAACCTCATGCAGTTGAATGGGTCATGTTCTGTGGGCGGCAATGCCGGCTGAGCACTAAAGTGGGGATCAGGGGCGGACTAACCATTTGGAAACTCGGCACTGCCCGAGGGCCCGGGGTCAGTAGGGGGCCCCATGAGATGCCCCTGGTACCTTTTTTATAGGCTTTTTTGAGTGTGGGCAAGGACACAAGGGCCCCATGATCCCGTAATACCCGGGGCCCCCATGAGTTGTCAGTCCGCCCCCTGGTGGGGATACATTTTGCTGAGCAGTGGAACAATAAATTGGGGGAAATGTACGTCCACGGCCACTGCCTGTGCAGCTTAAGGGTACAGTAAAAACGTGGCTTAGTGTTTCCCCCCCCCCCCTCCAATCACATTAACCACAAATGTAAATTATAATCAAATCATCAGCTTAAGGCTCCATTCACACTTGTGCGACTTCAAGATCATGCGACTTTCATTGCCACTTTACAGGACTTTGACTCAACTTTGATGCGACTTTGATCCCGGGTTCACACTCTGCAGTGCGGGGACACCATATGTAAGTCACACAGCAATCGCACCGCATTCCTGTGCGAATTACATGCCAATGTCTGTGCGGTGCGTTTGGGGCATACATTTTGTATGGGTCAAATCACATCCTCACCAAAAAGGTGCAGGACCCTTTTTTAAATCCGCACCTGAATCACATGGATGGGTGTTCTCATGCGATGCGATTTCCAACAATCACATTGCGTTTAGCGATGTTTCAGGGTATCATTAATTTATTATTGCACCAGATCGCACAAACGTGAGGTGATTGCAATGCGGTGCTGTGCGGCAAACGCACAGGATTCGTAGCGCTTCCCGCACTGCATTGGTGTGAACCCGGGTTGAGTGCGACTGGGGGGGTGGGGGGGGGGTGGGGGGGGGTTGTGGGGGGATGTGGTGGTTGTGGGGGTGTGGGGGGTGTTTGTGGGGGGGGGGGGGGGGGGGGGGGGGGGGGGGGGGGGTGTGGGGGGGGGGGGGGGGGTGGGGGTGGTGGTTTTGTGGGGGGGGGGGGGGTTGGGGTTGGGGTTGGGGGGTGGTTTGGGGGTGGTGGGGGGTTGGGGTTTGTGGGGGTTTTGGGGGGGGGTTGTGGGGGGGTGGGGGGGGTTTGTGTGGTGTGGTGGGGTTTGGTGTTGGGGGGTTGGTGTGGGGGGGGGGTGGGGGGGGGGGTTGGGGGTGTTGGGTTGGGGGGGGTGGGGGTGTTGGGGGGGGGGGTGGGGGGTTGGGTGGGGGGTGTGGTTGGGGGGGGGTTTTGGTGGGGTTGGTTGGGGGTTGTTGGGGTGGTTTGGGTTTTGGGGGGGTGGGGGGGTTTTTGGGGGTTGGGGGTGTTGGTGGGGGTGTGTGGGTGGTGGGGGGGGGGGGGGGGGGTTTGGGTGTGGGTGGGGGGGGGGGGGGGGGTTGTGGGGGTTGTTGGGGGGGTGGGGGTTTTGGGGGGTGGGGGTTTTGGGGGGGGGTTTGGTTGTGGGGGTTGGGGTTTGGGGGTGGGGGGGGGGGGGTTGGGGGGGGGGTGGGGGGATGGTGGTGTGTTTTGTTGGGTGTGTTGTGGTGGTGGGTGTGGGGGGGTGGGGTGGTGGGGGTGGGGGTGCATGGGTGTGGGGAGGGTGCTTTTTTTTGTACGCAATGGGGGGGTTTTTGGGGGTTTTTTTTTTTTTTTTACATGAAACCCTCTTTTGGGTAAGGGGGGGGGGGGGGGGGGGGGGGGTTTAGATCTGGGGGGGGGGGGGGGGTTTGTGGGGGGGGGGATTTTTTGGTTTTTTTATGGTTTGGGGGACATCAATGTTGGTGGGGGGTGGGGGGGGGGGGGTGGGTGTCAAAAAGGGGTGGTGCTTTTTTTGGGACGAGCGGGGGGGGGGGGGGGGGGGTGGGTGGGATTTCCACGGATTCTGGTGGGGGGGGGTTGGTGGGGGGGGTTTTGTTTGGGGTGGGGTGGGGGTGGGGGGTATAATGGGGTGCAGGTCACCATGTTTTGGAATTGGGGGGGGTTGTGGATTCTGGGGGGGGCTAAGTGTGAATGGAACCTTATGGTTTTTTTTTTTTGGGGGGGTGGGGCAGTCTCAATTCCTATTTTTTCGCTTAGGGGGGGTGGGGGAATGGGGGGGGGGGGGGTGGGGGGGGGGGTGGGGGGATGGGGGGGGGGGGTGGGGGGGGGCATGCCATATGGGGGGGGCATGCCAGGGTGCACCCTATGGGGGGCCTAAGTGGGGGAGGGGGGGGGGGGT